CTTTTAAAGTTATGCAATCTGGAATTCGAATTTCTAATTCTGGACGTAGCCCTCGACGAAAACAGGATATTATATCTACTTCTAAAGTTTCTAACATCGTTTTGGATAATTTACCGTCTTTACTCGATAATCTGTATGAGTCAAAAATCTGATCCGATAATTCTTTTACTCGATTCGCATACGATATGACACTTTCATTTTCCTCCATAAAAATATTTCCTAACTCTCCTTGCAATTGATAGATACTTTTATTTGGTAAATATATCTTCTTTAAATGAGCTTCTAACTCCAAAATTGTTTTAAAAATATTTCCCGATATTGATTTTCTAACTTCTCCTATTAACTTTCCACGAATTAATTTTACTAAATTTTCCTCCACTTGGGATGAATCTGGCAACATTAATTTTGCTTCATGGCAACCTTCTATAAATGAAACTACTGGAATATTTTTTCCATCGAACACAGGCACTAATTCTAACGCCTCGCGAAGAGATACTTGTTGATTATTAGGTAACGACATAACTAAGCTTTTTATTTCACTTTTGTATCACTTTCACTTAGAATTTTGATTTGTGTTTATGAGTGTAAATAAAAAAATTTAATAAAGAAATTTCTAGATTTGTTGGTTCAAGGATATTTTTCTCTCTCATTTATATATTTGAAATTATTTAAGGAAAAATGATTTTTTTTTTATTTCTCTTTTTTTTACAACAAATGATGCACCAAAAATTATACTGTTAATGCATCGATTTTTATATTATAAGTTTAAATTCTCTTTTTTGTTCACAACGGACAATACACCAAAAATTATATTTTTAGTGCATAGTTTTTAAATTTATATTCTCTTTCTTGTTCACAACGGTAGATGCACCAAAAATTATATTTTTAGTGCATAGATTTTAAATTTATATTCTCTTTCCTGTTCACAACGGCCGATGCACCAAAAATTATATTTCCTCTGTTACGTCTCAAATAGAGAAATAACTAAAGAAATAATATTTTATTTTATTTGTGGCCGCTCGGTGATTCAGTGAATTCCTGTTTCATTTACAGAGCAGAAGGCTCTGAGCTAAGGGTACAGGAAAGAAAGAGAATAGTGATTTTTAATGACAAGGTTACAAATTTATTTAGACAAACATTTAGAGTTATAAAATTGATCTTTGAGAGAGAGTATCCTGAAGCAACCATTCTTGAAATAAGGGGAAATCAGCATTCCACTGCAACAAGGAATGTAAAGGTTACTACAAATTTTTATAAGGAATTAGGAAGGATTTAGATAAAAAGTATTACAACTTACCTTGAAAATTTAGATGTAAGATGTATGAAAAAGGACCACTGCTGTGTCCTAATTATGATAGGAACTTCTGGTACCAGATATAGTTTGAGAGCTCACAGGAAGGTTGACGGGCCTTGGTGATGACCACAGGTCCGGAGTTCAGTTGATTGAATCAGCTCTTCTTGACGTAGAAACTTTTAACACTTGACACAGAGATTCTTCTAAGTCGAACTTGAGTATGAAATCGAGCAGAGTAACAACGCTTGTACTAGATTTCGTATGTGAACTGGTACCAAATATGAAGTAGAAGTAACGTGTATGATGAAAAGTTCTGAACTGGTAGATGTTACACGTATGAAGATGTTTTGAGAACTGGTTGATGTTATACGTATGAAGAGGATTCCAGAACTGATCTCTCCATGAAAATGTAGTCCTTTTATACTGAGTTTTCGTAAGAGAATAGATAAAATTTTATTGTCCTACTATATATTTTCACCCTAATTTTGGAAGTCAAAGTTCAGTCCTTCTCTCTCAGTTGAACGTAAAAAGGGGGGTGTGAACCAGCTTCTTCAAGATACAAAGAGTATGACTATGATTATTCGCAGCTGTACTCTTCTAATGTGGTGATACCACAGGGGTTCGTCACATAGGATAATTGGAAAGAGCGCATTTATTACATCGTTTGATTTTAGCACATAGGGAAAATTAGAAAGGGATCATTTTGTTTTGTGGGGGTGTGAGCTCTTCTGGTATCATAAAAGATTTCTCGCTTCTATTTGTATGTATACAGAAATAGAAATACAGTAGATTGTCGTAGAAGGATACAAAACGCAGGGGTCTTTTATATATAAAAGAATGATGTTTAGTTGCGCGAAAAAGGGGCGGAAATTGAACATTTAAGAGAAAAGTATTTAGAGGCGTAACAAAAACACGTGTGTTTGTCGCAGAGACATATAACTCGGTATTGATTAAAAGGATTCTTATAATTATGAATGTAAAAGTTACGGTGACGTGACACCATATTGGATCCGCCATTTAAAATTTTTGTAAACTATCATCGGATTCGTTATCAGCGACCCCAAAAACCCCCGAGTGGCAATTTTCAAGTGAATTTAATTAATTTTATGGAATTTAGTCGCCATATTGGATCCGCCATTTTGAATTTTGAAAAAAATTTTCAAAAACGACACACGACATCGAAAAGTATTTGTTTTTATTGAAGTAATAAGCCTATGTCCGATTTTCTATATTTAAACTATTTTTGGTCAGACTTCAGTTGACAAAGAATGCCTCATATATATATATATATATATATATTAACGATTTTTGAAAATATTTCCAGAGAGAATAAAATTTTTCACGTTCACCACTAATATAAATAAATGGTTAGAGTTTGGAGTGTATAGTCGTTAACCTTAGTTTCTACTCTATCTCTATATAGAATAGTCGTTGCGTGGCGCAAACCGTTATTTGAGAAAGCAGAAAGCACACATTAGAAACGCTGAGATAGCTTCTCCCTTACGAGACCCGAGCTAGAGCCAATTAACAAGCTACTCGAGAAATCGACACTTCCTTTCGACATTTCTTTTTCTGTGTAATACCATTCTTTTTACTTAGATAATAATTATCGCACTTTAAGATTAAATTTCCCTTGAATGCCCGTAATAATAATATTTCAAAAAGCTCTTGACAATTCTGGAATTCAAAAATGTGAATAAAATAAAAATTTTATTTTTATCAAACAAAATTATTATTATTTATTTATATATTTATTTGAAACAAATAAACAAAACATAGTTATAAGACAAATATATTTTTTACTTAATTTGAATATTATAACAAATTTTTTAAAAGCATCAAAAAATTACGTTTTTTTTTCTAAAGTATATATATATGAGCAATTGATAATGGTCGACTTGCATGACTCGTATATTTAAAGAGAATATCGTCAAAAGTCGTTTTCGAGTTGAAATGCGCTCAAGTTTCATGGAATCGTGCTAAAATTTAAAAAGATGCTTCTCCAGAAATCATCGCATTTATGTCTGACATCGCGTGCAATGGAGACACAATTATCTTGTGGATTCGCCCTTTAAATTCAGAACGTGATCTGAAATATAAACTCGAGAAATATAAAAATCACAGGATCATAATATATTTTGTTTTTCTCGACGAAAAAAAAAAAATTTACAAAATTTGAAATTCAATTTTAATGCTAATCGGAAAATTTTATTTTGTCTTTTTTATATTTCATGTTGTTTACTTAAAAAAAGTATATATATATATATATATATATATAGGGAAAAGTAAATTGAGAATAAAATTGTAGGTTTCATTATGAAATAATTAAAAAGTGAAGTTTGATGGTTGACGAGGTCTGCGTGCTATGGCATTTGGAACACACAGCGAAACTCAGTTAAAGAAGAAAACTTTAAGATGAAAAGTCAAGCAAGAAAAATGAAAATTACAGAGTCCTTTGACTTTCAAGAATGCATAATGAATCGAGCTGAATTAAAATAATCTTAGGCAGAGCTTTTTTAAGCTTGATACGACCTTCTTTTTTCTTCCAATAACTCTCTAATGATCGCGTTAACAAACGAGTAAAAAAGAGTGCCGGTAAATTCTTTTGCAAAATTTCTTAGTAAAATGAACAAAGGGAATTTATAATATGGTATATAGCTGCTAATTATGCGCCTAATTCTTTGAAATATTCAAAAAATGTCAAAACAGAAATGTATATATTTATTTAAATTTTATCTTACATTTGAGGATTTTAAAACTTTAATAATATATAAATATTTTTAATTTGGAAAAGAAATATTTTTATATCGACTTCATTTTTTGGTTAAATAAAACTACTCAAAAAATATATAATTCTTGTGATTTTTGTATACATTTCGAATTTATATTTCAGATGACGTTTTGAAAAAATCGACAATTTTTGGGGGAAAAAATGTGCAGTTAAATTTTTATTGCTATAGGTAATTCTAAATTATTGAAGAATATAAAGTTTCGAATGTTTCTAAAATGTAGAAATATACATTTAAAAGCTTTGAACCTCTTCTTTAGAACTTCCCCCTTAAAACTTTTTACTAAAAAATTTATAAAGTTTCTAAACTTTGAAAAAAAATATCCAAGTTACACTACAAACTTTTTTTTTACATTTTTTATGTGAAAAGGTATAAAGTTTAATGCAAAAAGTATATATACAAAAATTAAAACTACAAATTTTATAATTAAATACAAATCGTATATAGCATTATATGAAAAAGCAAAAAATTTTGTTGCAAAATGAGTAATTTTTTTTCGAATTAATTTTCAAATCATTGAATAAACAAATTCGTCGAAATTACGTGAATCTAGTTGAATATTTCCATAAAAGTATTAGTAGTAAATGTCGTTTCATCAATTTATTTTTTTAAGGACATTTTTTATTTAATTTTCAGAATACCGTCGAATTGTAAATGAAGGGAAAATCACATTAATACTTTTGTAATAAAATATAAAGAAATTGTAAAAATTGAAACGAAAAATTTTATATTTTTCTTTTTTCGCTATGCAGTGAGAATAAAAGAACGAATATTTACATATTTATTTAAAAAAAAAATAAATATTAAAATTCTATTTTTGAATAATATTAAATCGTAAATTTTGAAAATAATTCACGTTTTCTTAATAAGACACAGACAACACCGAGATAAAAAAAATTGCTCACCGCATCAATTACCTCTTTTACCTGAGCAGATTTTGATCGTGGATCGGCGACCTGGACGGTCTCGTCGGGAGGTAGCCGCCAGGAATTCCTCTCGACATTAACGCTGGCGTTCATAGCGTTCTCCTCCTCCTCTCAACACCACTTCTCCTAGCCACTTCCTCAATTTCCGGGTCCCCAGGGTAACCCCCAGGCCACTCCTGGGGCCGAATTCCGGCCCTCCAATCCACAGTTTCTCACCTGAAACAGTTGACAAAAAAAAAACTGGTCAAAATAACTCTTGTTACTTTTGTGCATTATTAAGAGATGAAAGTAAAATATAAATTCTCGAGATTTCGATTCACATACTCGTGTCGCATACTAGAGGGAACATCATTGGGTTAATTTGAGATACGAATTTAGTGAAGGGAACCTGCGAAACGAGCTTCCGCTTCCGTATGCTTTAATGGGAAATGTAAAGTTGAAATTTCAACTGCACTGCAATAATGCCAAAAGCATACGGCACACATACATATACACAGACCCACACAGGTTGTGACCGAAAAGATAATTGAAAATGCTTCATAAAATTTCAAATTCAAAGTAATATTTGATATTCGCACCTAAAAGCAAAATGATTAATTTTGCGGTGTTAAATGTGCTCACACGAAATTTGTCCGATTTTCATTTTAGATCTTTATCTCAATTTTTTGTGAAAATTTCTTTTTTAAACAAAAAAAAAATCATAAGTAATATTAAATTTAAAAAAAAATTATTCTTAATTTTACAGAGTAATTTTTTGGCGTTATTTTTGAATATTTAAATATAATTCTAAAATTTAGTTTAATATAGATAATATTGAATAAATTACACAGGCCTACAAATTTTAGACCCAGAACCCGGAATAGTCATTTCCGATGTAATTTATCACGCTAAATCCAAAAATTGCAAGCAAATTGCTCTATCACGTCAGCATTTTGAGATATTCTAACCTAAAAGTGTAAAAATGCCGTTTTTGGCAATATTTGATACTCTATAAAATCGACAAAATTTTTGTTTAATCATTTGTCCAAATTTTTTAAAAGAAAGTATTATATTTCCCCTTTCAAAATTTTCTTGGCTCGATCTGATCCAATTTTTTTTCTCTGAGATACAGCCATTTGCGTTTTACATTGCATGAACTAAAATCCCATTAAAAAAGAAAAATATATTGCGAAGTACTCATGGCACTGAAAATTGTTACTCAGGGGGTTTTAAAATCGCTAATTACGAATGTGATATCAGATTCAAAAATCTGACATTCAATTCGTAATCAGCGACCCTAAAAACCGCCAAGTAATGAATGACAAGCGAATTCGGTAAATTTTTTAAAAAGTGTCCGCCATATGGGATTCGACATTTTGAAATTCAAAAATCTGACGTCAGATTCGTAATTAGCGACCTCAAAAATACCCGTGAAATAAGTTTCAGTGATATGAGTACTTTGCAATTTATTTTTCTTTTTGAAAGGGATTTTAGTTCATGTAATGTAAAACTTAAATGGTTGTATCTCAGAGAAAAAAATTGGATCAGATCGAACCTAGAAAATTTTGAAAGGAGAAATATAATACTTTCTTTTGAAATTTGGACCAATGATTAAAAAAATTTTTTGTCGATTTTATAGAGTGTCAAATATTACCAAAAACTTCATTTTTCACGCTTTTAGGTTAGAATATCTCAAAATGTTGACATGATAGAGTAATTTCTTTGTCATTTTTGGATTCAGCGTGACAAATTACATCGAAAATGACTATTCCGGTTTCTGGGTCTGACAAAATCCAAAATTTTGTAGGCCTGTGTTATTAAATAAAATAAATAAAATTTTGAATCCCTTAACTAGATTTAATAAGTTTGATAACGATAATGAGCATCCAAATAGATTTGTTTTTCCTTATATACAAAGTTATGATTCTGTTTTATATAAAATTTTCAGACAAACAAATTCAACTCTCATTTTTTCAATAGACAAAACTTTACAAAAAAATATTTTTCCACATAATTTTAATGATAATGTACCTTTTTTAAAAAAAACTTATAATGTTTATAAAATGCCGTGTATTAAATGTCAAAAATTTTATATTGGCCAATCGTTACAACATTTATGTGATAGAGTTCGTCAACACGAGTTATCCATTATAAATAAAAAAACTAATAATGGTATTTCTTTCCACGCAACTCGATATAGACATAATTTTGATTTCAAGAACATTTCTATTTTAAATACCGAAATAAATGAATTTAAAAGAAAACAGATTGAAATGATTTACATACAAAAAAAAATATTAATTCGGTTGTTAATTTTTATACAGATACTGCAAATTTAAGTCAATCATAGACTTTATTAATTTCCAAAATTCATTCTTAATTTTAAATACCTTTTTAAATTTGAATAATCGAATAGTCGATAATCGATTATTATCGAGTATCGAGTATCGATTACTATGAAATATCGACTACTACTACTACTACTACTAAATATCTATATCGACTAATACATAACCTACAAATGTCACGTTTTTATTTAAACCTGTTTAAAATCATTTTATAACAATGTAATCTTATAAATAACAGAAACCCTCTTTATGAGGTAAGTTTTACAAAATATTTTAATCACATTAAGGAATCACTCTTGCTAACGAAATCTAATTTTTTGCAGGTGTTTCTCTTTTTTATATACCTTGTGCGCCATAAATTATGTTTTTTCTAAAAAAATTTTTTCCACATTATTATTCCAAAATTGTGACTTAAAGAGGATGCTTAGGTATCGAAACGTTGTCAACCAATTTTATAACATCAATAAACATCAATAAAGACCGTAACTAGGGCCTCATAAAAATTATTATCCAAAATTGTACTAAATTCTAGAATAAATTGCGCCGAGTATTTATTCTTATTTTTAGAATTATTAGAATTTTTTTATTATCATATATTGTAGACATTTTATTTTATTTATATGTTTATTTGAAACATTACATAATAATTTTATTTATTTAAAATAAATATGTTGTTAATTATTGATATTTAATTAGATTGTGATTAATTTAATATTAAGTTTAAATATATATTAGTGCCAACTTTTAATAGATATTTCATTTTAATTAAGTAAATCATTAAGAAAAAAAATTCTTCATTAGAATTGTGTTAAAAATTCTATAATGAATAAAAAAGTAAAATAAGTTTCATAAAAAGCAAAGTTTACTAAGTAAATTATTGCGAGTTTGAGCGAAGCAAGCTTGTACAACGCTCTATTTAAATTACACATAAATTAAAAATCATTAAAAAGTTCATACTGAAATTTTGAAAATATGTTTTCCATATTCAGAACTAGAACTTTATTTTCAAAATAAATAAATAGAAAAAAAACTTTCTAATCTCAAAAAATTCCATTTGTTCATTGTTACATTTTTTTTTATAAATTAAATTTAATTACTATATAATTATTTAATTATTAATTTAAACTTAATTTAGTACTTTTGTACGAAAAAGCGTTTTTTTTTTTTTTTGTTTTCTTTTATAAGCTCGTTTATATTAAATAGAAATTAAGTAAAAATATTTAATTATAATAATTAATGAAAGTAAATTATTAAATTAATTATTATAAACCTAATTGGTTTATGTCCTCAATGACTATAATGCAAGAAAATTTCTTACTTACAAATTTCATATTGACTTCCGAATATAATTTACTTCATTGCGATTTTTATGGTATATTAGGTAAACTATTCGAGTAATGGTTTATGGTCATTGTTCGATTGAATATAGACTTTAAAAGCTCCATTTGTGTTCGAGGGATTTTTATAGGTTTCTATATAATATCCACACAATCCCATATCATTGTAATTTTTTTCAACCAGAACATTGCTGACAATAACTCTTTATAAAAAAAAAAAAAAAAAATAGCTAAAAAGTTCGAACGAATAAAAAAGGATTCGGTTATATATTTTTTTTTGTACGCATACATATCGCGCGCAGTCAATTCTGTAAATTTTGCCGAGTACTCGATCAAGTCTCTTCCGTCGATAGCGATAAAGGAAAATCCTCATTTTCACAATTTTTTTTTATTTTCTTTCAAGATGAATCAGAATAAACTACTTTTTGAAATTCATATATGATAAATTCAAGTAATATTTCGTTTACCAAGAATATATGTGAATATATTTGTTTTGATAGTATATCAATTATTATACAAGAAAATAGGTCTAAAAATTATGGATTTGTTTGAAAAGTAAATCTTTGGTAAATAATAATTTTACAGATATTTATGGATTTAATTAAACCTTACAAACTTTTTAAGCTCATAATTTCGTAATTATAATTATAGGTAACAATTTCATAAATATTATAGAATTATTACGTAAAAAATCTTTAAGCATTAAATATTATTATTAAACTAGCAAAAATAAACGCGCGCTAAATTGGGTATGTAATTGTTTGTAATAAAGAAATTAAAATTAATATTACCCTATCAAAAATTTATTACTGGCGCAGTACTGGCAAGTAATGGCGCCAGAGTTGGCACCAGTACTGGTAACCACTATTGATTCAGTACTGGCCAAATACTGGCAGTGTTGTAATTTAATGTATACGAAAAGAAAGCTTTAACTGTAAAAGAGATAAGTTTCACTCCAGGTAATAATTTTTTGGTATACTCAGGAAAAAGTGTCTAAAATTTTCAGTAACCCAACATAAATTAAATATTAATTAAATTAGTCAAATAACTAATTATTATTTTATTACATAAAATCGAAAACACTAAGAATTTTTATTCTTTATCACAATATATATTGCAAATTATTATTTTAAAAAATCAAAAAATAAATATAAAAATATGTTTATTATAAAACCAAAGTATTGAGAAAAAAAAGTATACGTAATTTTTTGTAGGTTTATAAATTTTCGGGTAAAAATATTTAATTTTAAGTTTTTTTCAAAAGTATAGTTTCTATTTTTATTCACATATATATATTTGCATCAAAATGAATTTTTGAAAAACTTTCTTAAGGAGGTTATAGCGGAAATAGAATTAACATTAGGAATTTAATGAAACTTGGTCCACTATTAGATAAATGTTTGAAAATTATGTAGCTAAATTTTTCAGACCTCTAGGTTCTTGTGAAAAAAGTTATAAGCGTTTTTGTTTTTTAACAATTAACATTGTGTCTTATGGGAATTAAGTACTTTTTCATACATATTTACTTACCACGAAATAATTAACATTAGGA